GCATATTGTTGCTTCCACTATGGGCTATGTGCAAGACCCTGCTTTGATAAAACAAAGCACTCTTTATAGGAAGAATATGGGTGGAGTTTGGAACTTTTTCTTTTCTCATCTTATTCAATGTTTAAGTTCTAAAACTGGAGGGATGGATCAGTCACCCACTAGTGTTGCCCAGCTAGCTCATGCACTTATTTTCCAGAGGAAAATTGATTTTGCAAGTTATTTGTTTGGGGAGTTGGTAAAGAAGATGGTATAGTGCCAAAAGCTCTACTGTGCCTTTTATTAGATTTCTATCCATAATGATTGCTGACAAACTTGGGTCACGTATGTCGGCCGATACTGACAATTTCTATGACCTCAAAGTGTCTCAAGTTGGCATTCAGACTTTGAAGAAGGCATCATTGTTTACAGATCTTCCTCTTCCTTCAGGTATGTTTTCTTTTGCCACCTCTTCTCACCCTGTATGGGGAGAGTGCTCTGTGACCATAGTAACTGGGGACCTTCCTCATGTTGCTCCGGTCACCCATCACTCCTCCATGTCAGTGGCCCCTCCCCCATCTACTTCTTTAGCTACTGCATCAAAAGAGGTCACCTCCTCTGTCCCGAGACGGTTGTCAGATAGTTTTATTCCCCCATCCTCCGCATCTGTTTCTAAGGCTATGACTTCGAAAGCGCCTTCGGAGTCTCATCCCGCCTCTCACTCAAAGCGGAGTCACTCTAGATTATCCACTCTTGGCTCTTCCTCTACGAAGCCAAAAAGGACTAAAAACACATCTCCAACCAAGGACTCTCAACAGTCCAAGGTTGTTGAAGTTGGTCCTACTGAGCCCAGGACATCTTGTTTACACCCACCTAGCTCCTCAGTGCCCTCTCAAAAGGACACTGTTGTACATACGGGGATCCCACATGACTCCACCTTGGCATCTCTACATGACCTTGGTGATGACTCGGATACCTCCCATTTCCGAGGTCCTTCCTCTCCTCCACTTCTTCACGGCCTATCACCCGAGATCGATGATCTTGATGATATTGCACGGATGGATGATTTATCAGCTTTGTCTGTTACTGACATCCCTTATCTCCAATATCTTCTTATGGATGTAGATAGTGAGCCTTACCAGCCTACTACCTCTACTACAGTGGTAATCGGCGACCCGCCTCACGCAGGCGTCGATAATACAGACACCGAGCCTCTCGCCGGTGTTGGTGATACAGACACTGAGCCTCTCGCCAGTGTTGTTGATACAGATATTGAGCCTCACGCCGATATCGTTGATACAGATGTTGAGCCTCACGCCAACATCAGTGATACTCCCTTCGGTGACTCTCAGGGCGCCGATGGTACTCAAGAGTGTTGGTGTTTCTTCTCCAGGTGGGTCAGCAAGCCCAATCAAAGCTTGCTCTCCTACTCCAGCTGTTGTTTCTCCCTCCAGGCCCCCTCCAGCGTTACATCTGAACTGCGTCAGCACAGTGCCGCCTTGACAGATCATGGCATTGCTTTCACTGCTATTAAAGCTACGGTTGATTCTCTTGATGCTCGTATGACTGCTCTCTCCGATTCTCAGTCTAGCATCTCTGAAGTTGTAGCTGATCTTCGTGCTCGATCGGAAAGTCAAGCTGCCACAAATCAGGCAATTCTTCAATCTCTTACTGATCTTCACTCCAAGATGGATGCACAGACACAAATATCCAAGCTGTTCTTGGATAGAGATACAGAGTTATCTGTTGACTTGGGTCCCAGTCAGTTCACGGAAGAGGACAGGGTTATGTTAGCCAACGTCAGTCGACGTGTTGAATCTGATTATGCTCTTCTTGGCGGTCTTCATCGCGGTATATCACGTCTGCTACGTGCCTCAGGTGCTCCCCTTACTCCTACTTCTCATGTTACTGCCTCTGTGCCTTCCTCACATGCCAATGTGGAGGGTCCTTCTGTTCCTGCTAGTGGACCTTCCTCTGTTCCCACTGAGGGGGAGAAGACAGTTGATCCTACTACCAGTGACAACGGGGACGACGACTCAGCTTCTACCTCTTCATCCTCAGCTGAGTCAGACTGTGATGCTCCGATTGAGGGGGAGCTATCTGATCATGATGATAGAGACACAATACCTATTGTGGGGGAGCAACCGTGCTCTATGCCTTCATTATCTGTTGATGTTGGTACTATACCTTCTCAAGATGATATTCCTCACAGAGAAGGAAAGGCACCCATGACCTCAGATGAAGAAGCTGCTGCAGCTAAAATTGCTAGATTTCAATCTGAAATCTCCTCAGCTGATAGACTTGTGCTTAAAGCTTCATGTACTTAAGAAACTGATCTTCATCTCCTAGGTATTTCTGCTGAGGATGCGGCCAACTCAATTGCCCTTCAAAAGCAATTTGAGGAAGCCAACAGATCTCATTCCTTGGTTCCACTTTCTGAGTCTGAAGAAACCAAAGAGAAAAGAATCAAATGGTTTAATGAATCAACTGTCCGACGCTTCCTTACTACTCGAATTGTCAGTGCCAGAATCAAAGGTCCTCAAAAATTGACCTATGATTCCAATCTGATCTATGTGATTATTGGTCGAGAAAACGGAGTAGTAAGGACAGAAAAGCTTTCTTGGATCAATTCCTACGGTCTTACTGAGTGGATGGAGATCATCAAGTTTCTAAGTAAAAGCAGAAGCATGTACAAGGAATTTGTCTTGAGTCATCTGTATCGYCTTYTMAAAAAKATACAAATGATCAAGATGCATTACAAGCTGCCTTCCCCTCCACAACTCTCCTTTTTCTAAAGCAAATGTTAAGCAAAGCTGGCTCTTCTAAATCTGCTTCTGCCTCGAAGACCATCAAGAATCAAGACTCGCTTATTTAGAAATTATCAAAGGAAGGTAAAGCTCCTAATGTCTCACATCTTGATCTTACCCTTCCTTCAGATGTTTGTCATCCGGAAGGAACTATCTTGTCCGCTCCTGAGCATGGAATATTCTTCTGTGACGCGAGTAGTTGCCTTCGATTTTTCCGAGCTTTTGAGATACCTATAGCTGATTCTCAGCTATTGCCTCTGATACTGAGTATAATCAAAATTGGTGAAGCCGGAAGAGTCTTTTATACTTTGATCTCGGATGAACTGAAGAGAAGAGATGTTCTTGCAGTGGCTGATTCAGATGCTATGGAAGTAGATGATGATTGCTAGCTTTCCTATGTGACTTCTTCTTCTTGAACTACTTTCTTCAATGTAAGTATTTAATTCATTGTCTAGTAAATGCAATTTGATTTTTCAGTATTTACTTTAATTTTTTCATTCTTTATTTGTTTGTCTCTGATTCTTTATTTGTTTGTATATACGTTTATTGTTTAAAAAAAATTAAAAAAATAAAAATAGAAAAAGAACCCAAAAAGAATATGTATATGGGTCACATAATTTATAAGTTCTTCTTCTCAAAGAATTTTAGAGTTTATGTTTCTTGTATTTATTTCTTTCTAAGTGTTTGTGCCATCATCAAATAGGGGGAGATTGTTGGGTCACCTATTGATTTGGTGATGACCTACTGATCTGTTCCTCTACCTTAGCAACACTTAGTAGTTATTGGTTCTTTGTAAATTGGTGTCTTGGTACATACTTAAGGCCATTGGCAAAATCGAAGACTAGCCGATGTGAAGACAGAAGGTCACCGATGCAGTGTTGTGGATCAACTGTCTAATATACACACCAAGACTCCGAAGTAGCTGAAATGCATATTAAAAATATTTTGAAGCTACAAGCCGATTGAAGGAAGATCTTCATAGACCGAAGATTGAAAATCTTCATGGACTCAAGATTGAAGATCATGGACCGAAGATTGAAAATCTYCATGGACCRAAGAYTTGTGTGTAGCTGCTTGAAGCTACATATCCATCCAAAGGAGATCTTCCTACAGACTGACCATATCTCTGCAAAGTTTGTCTCTGCATGAACTGTGTAAGTTTGTCTCTGCATGAACTGTGTAAGTTTGTCTCTGCATGAACTGTGTTGTATGCACGTTGTGTACAATGAAAATGAGATATCAACATTGGTCAAGTCAATCCCTGCCTTCTTATCCTCAAGTGACAAGTGTTCTCATGCATTAAATGCTGAAGGTAGTATAAAATGGCAGTGTGCATCTCCCATGCATAGAACTGGCTTTTGAAAGATTACTTAGTGCATTCTCAAAGCAATCGGCTATTCTCTTCTACTCCTTTGCTCTCTTTTGTGCAAAGAAATTCTTAGTGTTCTTCATTTCCTTTCAAGAACTCTTTGTGTTGCTCTTGAAAGTTCTTCTCCTTGTAAGATTGTTTAGGTTAGGTTTTCCTTTCCTATCTTCCGCAACAATCTTTTGTATTTCTGTGTGTATTAATTCTTGAYATAAATCAATAAGAATTAAAAAGTTGAAAAAAGTCTGAGTAATTGTATTCAACCCCCCTTCTACAATTACTTTCTGTTTATTGCCTTTCCCTTCGGGACTAACAAGGTGGTAAGATGTATGCAAACATGCATCTAACCAAACGAGTAGAGCAGTTGTTTCCAATGAAATTGCCTCTCAATATCTCTAGATTTGCATAATTGCATAAGGTCAATTATCATGAAATCCTTGTCAAACAAGTATTATTTTGCCTTGCATGTCCTTCAATCTAGTCCTTAACCAAAACAATGCAACGAGAGCTTAGTGCTTGACTGTCATGAACATTGATGCGAGTCGCTACATTATTTCTTCAGTTAACAAGACTGCAAGATGGATCCTTCCGTGAGACATCTTGTGTATGCCTTTTTAGGTTTGAAATCAAACATCTTGGAGGCTATTATGCTTGTTCTCTCTCAAACCAAATGACACGGTAAAATAAGATTTTTTTAGGGGCATGAGTGGAGGTGGCAATGACATTAACAGCAACCTGCCATGGCTGCTTGTCTTTTTTTCTATCAGTTAATCCAGAAGTGGCTGTTGCTTTCTACCTCTTGATTACTGCAACTGCTGATTGCGTTTCTGACTAAGATTTTTTCTTTACAGGGTGTACCCATGATACATATGGGTGATGAATATGGTCACACGAAAGGGGGAAACAACAACACATATTGCCATGATAACTATGTACTATTCTGCTTCCTCGATCATTTGAAAGAACCATAAGCTTTATGAGCTAACTACAGCTGTCTGCAGATGAACTACTTCCAATGGGATAAGAAAGAAGAGTCCTCATCGGACTTTTTCAGATTTTGCCGTCTAATAACCAATTTCCGCCAGTAAGGGCATCATTTAAACTTGACCAGCTTCTGTTTTCACTTTGTTTATGTCACATTCCTAAAACTAGTGATTTCAACAGTGAATGTGAGGCACTTGGGTTAGATGACTTTCCAACGGCAGAAAGGTTGCAGTGGCATGGACATGTCCCTGGAACACCGGATTGGTCTGAAACAAGTAGATTTGTGGCCTTCACCATGGTATTCAATCTCGTTTGCCCATAATTTCCATCATTTTTATGCATCAGTCAGGTTCATGGTTTTTCTGTAATCTAGACCTTCATAAGCATGCTGGTAACTTTTTTGTCCATATAAAGATAATCCACGTAATACAATTGGTATGAAAGATGTTACTCCTCTCTATCCTATGAAAACTGCAACAAACTCCAAATATTTGAATGTCTGATCAAAATTGCTTTACATCCTTTTTGTTAAAGGTTACAAACTGAACTTGCATATTCGACATTTCCTCCTTCCCATCCTTGCATCTTATTGATGCTTGCTCTATTTGTCATCATCAAAGGGTACTTTTTATACATGTCAGGTCAAAGTAGAGATGCACAAAATGCCTGAAACCCGGCTTGGGGCCGGCCCAGAAAAGCCTGGATCTAGCAAGCCTGAAGCCAAGGCCCAGGCCTAAAACCCAATTGGGCCAGGTTTTTTTCTTCCAGAAGCCTGAAAAAACCCGGAAAAGTCTGAATGGGCCATTTTCACACCCAAAGTCTGGGCTCGGCCCTGGGCTCTTCTTTTGCTTACAGACAACGGGCTTGGAAGGCCCGGGCCAGCAGGCCTTGTGTATCTCTAGGTCAAACATTGCAAGTTCCGTACGACCCATGGAGTATAAGCACTTTCTACTTTTTCACCATAATCATATGCTTGATGTGGGTGTTTAATGCAGATGGACTCGGTGAAAGGAGAATTGTATATCGCATTCAACACTAGTCATTTACCAGTTATGGTTACATTGCCAGAAAGAACTGGCTACAAGTGGGAACCGTTGGTGGACACAAGCAAGCCTGCACCATTCGATTTCTTAACGCCTGACCTCCCTGAAAGAGAGCTTGCTATCGAACAATATGCTCATTTTCTTGATGCCAATTTATACCCCATGCTCAACTATTCTTCCATAATCTTATTACTCACCCCTGACCTAACTGCTTAATCCAACCCCTACCCGTATCATACACAATTACGGCTCACGTGCAAGTGTAAGTATTTTATGTCTCTACAAATTTTAATACTAATCCGAAAGGGCTTCTCTTGCTTACATGCTTCGACCACCAATTTATGATCATATACAATCATTTTGGGTTCATATTTTTAAGACCATGGGTTCGACTTTAAGTAGACTTATTGAATGGTTGTGTTTCTCTTTAGAAGATTGTAACAAGTTATCATGTTTATAATCACATGTTGTGGATCGTCTATGGGTAAAGACAGTTTTCGCTGCGGAAATGGATGGAGTGCTCAAAAGTAAGAACGATTAAATTTGATGATTCGCATTCTACCACCATTGGGATATACCTCTTTCATGATGGTCGTTTAAAGTTCATAGGTGAAACAATAATTTTTGTTTAAAGTTCATCAGTGAAACAAGGTTTTGTTTGAAGTTCATAATATTGTTTCGTGTATGAACATCGACTGTTCCAAAAAATTTAAATAAGTTCATAGATAAAACCATAAAATGAATAAGATAATTAAGGAAGTTTAAATAAAGTAATTGAAATAATTAAGGAATATAGTATCAATATATTAAAAAACAAAAATACCTCGGTTGATAAACTTTGTACTTATTAGGCGGTTAACAAAAGAATGTGCCTGCATATATGTGTGTGTATTGTAAATAATAGAAGGCTGTCTTAACATGTGGATAACCATTTTCAACCCTTTATATCCAATTAACTTGATATTACCCTTTTTAACATTGTTAATGTCATTATTAATCCAATGATAATCATTGTTAATTGATAACAATAATTCTAATGAAAATATGTATTTCTTTAATACTATATGTTAAAGAAGATAAAATACCAAAAATAAACAATATGAAAGTTGATGACTTCTTATTATAGATATTATTACTACTAACATTTTAACTTTTATTTATGCATATACTAAGAGGCCGTTTACCTACCTAAACACTTACCCGGTAAAATTCAATACTATCGCTTACTTATCGGGTAAGATTTTATTTACTAAAACGCATCGTATGCAATAATTTATCCCGGTAAACGTTATCCATGGTAAGAGTCCTCGTCCTCATTCAGAAATATGTTGATGGAATGTTGAACTTTGAATATCTCAATACTAATGATCCAAGCATTTTGTGGAAAGATCTTAAAAATAGGTTTGATCACCAAAAGGAAGTTTTACTTCCGGCTGCCATGGATGAATGGAGAAGTCCGAGGTTTCAACTTAAGTTTTGAGGACAAAGTGTTACTGATGTGAATATGTTGGAGAAAACCTACCCCATTTTCCATGCATCAAAAAGTACTTGCAACAACAATATCGACTGCATAAATTCATATAATATTTTGAGCTTAATTCATGTTTACTTGTAGCAAAATAAAATAATGAGCTCTTTATGAAAAACTATCAATCCTATCTGACAGGTTGAGTAGCATTTCCTGAAGCAAATGCTATAAATAATGATAGTCCTACAAATAATTTTCGTGGACGGAGACGTGGTCATTTTGGTCAAAACTGCAATTTTGGCCGAGGCCACACCTATTAACTAATTAAAATTCTTCATTTTTTGTGTAATTTTTAATTCATTTTTTAATTATAATTTAATTTAAGTTAAGTTCAATAACGAACTAATTTATACTTGTTTTAATAATATAATTTTCTTATAAAAATAATAGTTAATTATTTTGTTAGAACTCGATAATTATGCTAATTATATTTTAGATTTTCTACATTTTAAAATGAGATGTTTATCCTCTATTTGATTATGTTTATCTGTAGTTAGTTACACGAATTCAAAAAATGAAGCTTTAATAAGTTGTACTTATGCATAACTTACTTGTAATCTTGAATTTTAAATAATATGCATCAATATACAGTATTTCATGCATAAAAAAATGGTTTTTAAGAGTTTTTGTCAAATGCTTTATAATATAGTATAGATATATCTTTCGAGATTGACCATTAGAGGAGCAAGCGGAAAGGTTATTGTTGTGTATGGATTATGATGTTGCTTAATGTTAGTTTGCCACTAGCTTGCAAAGTCTCGTATTTTTTACCTGCTATCCTCTTATAAATACATCTATATCTGTGTACTTGTAATTCTTTTACCAAAATAAAAAACGTTCACTCGCTTATGCAATCATGAAGGTGAAGTAGTTCTATGGCAGAACCACATAAAGTCTCTGTGTTCTTATTGTGCGAATTTTTATCCCTTTGTAATATTATTCAACTCTATGTCGACTTCCACCATCTAATTCAACATACAATTAACCATCAAGTCCCCGAAGTCTGTCACGTAAGAATGCCAAGTAATAGCATCATAACCAAGCGTTATCTTTCCGTAAATAGCACTTGTTAAACACCACTTGTTTTGTGGGTAGCCCGAAGTCATTGCATTTGAGCATCCACAGTTACAAGAAGATTTTTATTCCTCCTTGGATTTGAACTCGAAACATTTTTGATATTTGAAACCCAAACTCAAACAAAGTTTATAGTTATTTTTGTTTTTGTATGCAATTTAAAAAATATTTTATGAATAATATTTGGTATATTAAACTCGACCCCGGGCCCCGTTGGTGAATACGTATTGGACCTTCGGAGCTCCTCTTTTTATTATGATTTGTCACATCAAATTCCACCCATCTTTTCTAAAATATTATGGTTTAACATAATCTTTTAAATAATTAAACCAGAATTTTATTTTTTATTTTGTTTTATACAATAAACAAAATTCCAAGTTTAAAGAATTATTTTAAAACTTGATATATATATATATATATATATATGAAGAAATAAATTAATTTTTTATTCATATCCATCAATTATTATTATTATTATTTTATTATAACAAAATTCATTTTATAGAACACTGAAAATGTAGAAGCGTCTTAAAAAGTACTTCATATGACTTAAGAATTAAAAAGTACTTCATATAACGCTTAAAAACGTTATATAAACTTATTGTAACACTTTTACATAAGACGTTTTATAGTTTGGTCCTATAAACCTAATCTAGAAAGTATTTGATTAGAACGTTTAGACAATCTAAGTATCTTATAAAGCCAACTTTGTTGTAATGTTTTATATAAATTATTTCTAAAAGTATTGAGATGAGAAATTATTGAATATTTTAATAATATAATGGACGTTGAAATCTCTAAAATAAAAAATCTGTTGGAGACAAATGTAATTATTTTTTTAAAGGTTCAGACTTTTAGTTTTCAGTGTTCAAAGAAATTAGTGAGAATTTGTTTGGAGATACTCTAACATTTCTAATAGATTTAAAAACACTTCTTTAAAATGGAGAACTAAAACTAAAAAAATGAAAGACTAAAAAGCACTGGTAGGGCAACTAGTTCTCTTAGAAGGTCAAAGGTTCAAACCTCACCAAAAGTAAGGAAGGTGTGTGAGTTTATTTGTTATATTTGTCATATATAAATATTATATACTTCAAAAAAACATGTTTATTATTACTCAGTTATGGATAGTGGTTACAAATTTATAACATTACGAATCAAATCTTTTAAGTTAATCACACATGTAGTTCATCAAAATGAAGGAACATTTACTTAAAAGTACTCTTTTTAAATTTATCTCGTATTTTACATGTGTCACGACTTTAAATCCCTTAATAATTGACAGAATTTCTGACATGTTAGATATAAATGAAAGCTAGATAAATCTTAGTGGTAATATCAGATGAAATTTTAACAGAATTATTTATAAATTATGATAAATTTTATGGAAATAAAAGACGCAAAAATGAAAATAATTTAGTTTCTATTTGTGTGACGTACTTTCAGAACCTCAATTTTAATGCCTTAAAATATTTTAAACATTGCAAAATGGAAAATTAGATCAACTGTGTTACATTTTCATGCAAATGACTTGTTTGTTTGATACATTGAACATGACAGAACTTAACAGAAGAAAAATCACCGTTCCATGTTTGTCACTACTTTTATGTGGAACAAACAAGAACGTAGTAGAATAGATGTGTTCCACCCCACTTCATAGAACAAGATGGAACATACCTATATTTTACCAATATAACCTCAAAATAAAACTTAATTATCTTCTAAAACATTAAATACGTCTCACTCTTTATGTTTTATTCATTTCTTAAAAAAAATGTTGTATTTTATGCCTTTTAATCCTTTTATTTCACTGTCCTCGAACTACTATTTCTATATTGTCTCTATATTTTGATTAATTTGTTTAATTTATTAAATATTAATAATAATAAAATAATATAGAAAATGTATAAAAAAATTAAAAACTACATAAACTTTTTAATTGTCATGACGGATTTTTTTAATGGTATATTATGTTATAAAAATATTTGTTTTATTACAATTTAATAAATTACATAATTTAATCAAAATACAACTCATTAGGAGTAATTTGATCATTTTATTTATTATGCTATGTCCAGTTCCATTTTACCAAACGTCCATTCTATAATGCAATTGGTATCCAGAAAGATAGGACAGAATAATTGTTCAGCGTTTGATAGAACATAACCGTACATAATAAAACAAATAGAATAACCAATCTACCTTAATGAAGTTGTTGCATGTATTGTCAAATGTACCCAAAGCATGTATCGTTTTTTTTTTTCTTTCTTAAATTTGAACAGGAGTTGCAAGGACCGGGCGATCTCTAGAGCAGAGAACAAGCAGAAGAAGAAGAATGGCTCTCAGCCACTGGGATCAGATGAGCATCCCATCCAGTTGTCGAATCAACGATTTCTTCTGTTTGTTTTTGCAACTCGAGACTTGATTTCACCAGACGTAAGTTTGAAAGTTTTACTCTTCCCCTGTGTGAATGGAATCTAAAAGAAGAGACAGATTTTGGAGGTACTTCTGATTGGTGGAATTGGGTTTCTCCATCAGAAATGCTGCCAATTTCATGTTTATCTAAACAATCAAATGCGGGCCTCTCTCTGAAGAATCCCCCCTTTTTTTATTGTTATTGATCATCTTTGATGTATATATATATATATATTGTTTTAATCCATTTTAGATTCTGATATATGGACTTCCTTTTCTCGATTTCTGTCCACTTTATCATGCTCACATGTGTCTATGATCTTATAGCCATTGATTTGGTTTTCTTTTCCTTCTCTATGCATTATCCTCTACTATTCCACTAAATAAATGTTTGTAATGGAATAAAATTTCGTGGTTCAATTGGAAATTGGTCCTTGCCTCTTAGATTCCTGATATTATAAAATGAATATTAAATTTGTGTATGTTTGATTTTAGCCTCAGTTTTCGTGCATACCAACTGTTTGTGTGATATGTTTCATCTTGTAAAAAAAGAAATCACAGCTGGAAATAATGGATAAATTCATGAAATGTATACAGATTTATGAAGTTTGGTGTTCTGCACTCATCTTCTTTAGATTGGTGTAAGCTACACATAAAATAGGAGCTTCATGAAGTTATAGGGAGGTGAACCATTACTTTCTTTCATCAATCTTGGAGATCTTCTATTAGGATCATCAAAAGAGTTGGTTTTTATAATTTCCATTTAGTAAATTATCAAGTAACCCTGAAAGTTTTTACAATCCCCCAAGTTGTGTGGCTTCTTTCAAAGCCTCAACCATCTATGCTTATATGGCCATCAAGATCTATATATACTTTTCCCTGCCAGTGTGGCTTCTTCCTAAAATGGTATTCTAATAGATTCAATCAAACATATAGGAGGAGCATATGTTATTCTGTTATCTCTTGATCTAAGCTGCATTGTTTCTAAGGCTCTGTTCTATCATAGTACCTGCCGTATTTCTGAGCGTAACTTTCCCTATGTTAATTTAATACCCGTGCTATTGATTTCATTACGTTTATGGCTTTCCGTTGGTTATCAGAACTTTAATACTTAGTTTCCTAACACTTGACATAAAGTGGCAACTTTGAACCACAAGGGTTGTGCCCGATTGGTTTGAGCTTGAGCTCCATTGGTCAAAAGTGCCTGGAGGTCTCAGGTTCGAATCCGAGGGAAATAAAAATCCACTTGTGGCCACGGAGGTTCAAATGCAGCGGTGACTTCGGGCTACCCGCGAAGCGGGTGGTCACCCTGGGATTAGTCGGCTCGCATAGCGGGTTATATATCCAGGTTAATAAAAAAAAAAGTGGTTACTTTGGTTTCCATTAGTGGCAGATCTAGAAACTTAGGTGACTGGGTTAAGACTTAGGAATGTCCGAAATGGAATAATCCACACAAATCCAAAATGGTTTCAGGTTATTTGATTTTCAGGTTAAAAAGATTCAGTTTCAGTTATTCTTTTACTATACGGTTAAACCGCATAACAAATTATACCATAATTTTATATATTCTATGTTTAGATAATTGGTTTGAGGTTTTGAGCATATAAAACAATTAATATATGATAAACCCGTTTATATCAAAGCTAAAATAACAAGATATTGAGATGAATTTAATAAAACAATACATAAGAACTAGATATTGAGATGAATTTAATAAAACAATACAGAAGAACTAGATAAGGAGATGCCTAATATTAAGATGGATTTAACAAAACAATACACAAAATATTGGGATGAATTTATATCTTCTGGTTTTGGTGGAAAACATCAAATGTGTGGGGTCTTGTGAAAATTGAATGGGTTCTTGCCCCATACATATCTAATAAATGCGCAGATCCTTGCTTGCTTTCATCATGTTGGGTTTCCATTGGAGGTCTTTCTTTGTGCATGTTATGCTAGGTGCTTATCCATCAAGTAGCAAAGTTCGGTCTTCACTTTTGGACCAACAAGTTCCAGAAGAACTTCCAAATTCAGTAAAAATTTGCAGGTATAGTATATAATGAGAAAATATTGGGTGAAATTCCTAGTGACCATTTTTACTGAATGAACATTGCTGAAAATGTCAGAAACCATGCATCTGTCATACTCCATTTGATGTGAAAAATTAATAGCTGTAAAGAGCTATTATGAGAAAGAACATCAATGAATAGTAAACTGGAGAAAGGGAGTAGAAATGGTATGGCGCAATTCTGATTTTTGCAGGCTGGTATTATTGTCCTCAGAAAAAGTCCAGGTTCTCTGCTTTAAAACTAGAAATCAATCGTATTGGTCGATTTAAAAAAAGTATTCTATTACTACCTATAAATGTACTTATAAACATATGTAAATATAACATGCATACATACATACACACACCTCTTGTATATAACATAAAGAAAGAAGGTCACAACAATAATGGAGATTCTCCTGTCAGTTTCCATTGCCTTGTACTGAAGTTTTAGAGGTTGATCCCGCTGCACAAGCTTTTAGACCTTAATATGTTATTCCTTCAAACAAGTTAATGAACCAACTGCCCTGTTTACATACTCATCACCCCAAAACTGATAAAAGTTTCACATGTTAATAGTGAGGACATCATTTGGCCTAGATTGACTTAAACCAATGCATAAATATGATATTAAAGATCTGAACGGTTTCTGTTTTGCAAGTAAACTATGATCCTGAAACGAGACTGATTCTTCTTTGAATTTGAACTAGATTGGTTTGAAAGTTGGATAAAGATATTATATGAGGCTCATCATGATGCATTATAACCTCCTTTCAGTTACATCTGTGGAACTAGTGTGTAATGTATTTTGTAAACTAGAAAATGAGACACCTTTTGAATGTATATAATCATTTAAAGTTGGTGTGTTTGTTGCTGTCCTTGGTTTTGATATTGTTTTATAACAAGAGTATTATGGTAAGGGATAGGATTTGAAAAGTTGGTGAATGATGAGGCTGTTGGTGGATGTATATCAAGTGGGGTGGGATAGGATACGGGTCATATGACTACCATTTTGGATCAAGATTCCAATAATGGTGGCACAAGAAAAAGATTGTGTCAGTACTTGTAAATACAGTTGGAAAAGAAGGGCATGATAATTGGTTTATATTTAAGGCGAAACCAAAGAATCTAAAAGGCCAATTCCAGAATTATTTAGTAATAGATAGGAAAACTAGATTGAAAGCTATATATATATATATGTATATATATATATATATATATATTATTGGAAATCTGTGGATTCCCCAAATTGTATGTCTTTAGCTTGCAGAAAAAGGGAACCATAATTCACAGACTGTTTTTAGAGATAGAGAGTAAGATCATCTTGAAAGCAAGATTCAATGGAAATAGAGAAAGTTGACAAGGATAAAGAAGAGACTCAATTATCTGGGATCAAGAAACAAGTTAGGAGGAGACTCCACAGCAGCAAACCATATCAAGAAAGGCTTCTGAATATGGCTGAGGCTAGGAGGGAGATTGCCACTGCCCTTAAGTTCCATAGAGCTTCTATGAAGCAACAACAGGGAGCTGCTAATCATCAACTTCAAACACACCCACCATCAGAACAATTATCCACCACCACTGCTTCCAACAATTATTCAGCCTTATCTTGTCCTCCCCCAATTCCCCACCATTATCCTATCTCAGCAATTGTTCCTCCACCACCACCACCACCACTGCATCATGAACATCTTCATTTGGCACTCCCTAATCAAACCTTGGGGTTAAATCTCAATTTTCAAGATTTCAACAACTTAAACACCAGTATTTACCACACACCAATGTCTGTTGCCGCCAAGGAAGTAGCAGAGGTCGCGGCCAACTCTTCAGGTGGTATCGTCGTGAAGGGAGTAGCAGAAGGAGATGTAGTTGTTGGAGGATTACACGATGCCATGGAAAGTGACGAGATGAAGGAGGTTAGATCGTTAAATCTGGTGATGTCAACACAGTTGTGCAACTCCTTGAATACCATTGAAATTGGACCAGAGAAGGTTAGGAAAGCTGCTGGTTCTGATCATGAAGATGATGTTGATGGGTATCATCCTTTTGAACAAGTCATGGAATTCCCACCATGGCTGATCAATGCAAATGACAGCTCATGCTTTCAAGAGGTCCTTGATCACCATTTTTCTGATGAATACTCGCCAGATCCTGCCTTGCCTTGGTCAGATTATTCTTCTTTATCCATTTTCATTACCAGAATTTCTTCTTAAATGATGACGATTGCTGATCATTATTTGAGGTTCATATTCATCCCAAGTAATAATGCAAAAAGCAAAACAGCAAAAAGATCGTTACTGGATTCGTTTGGTTTATATCAGATATATTTTGGTCTATGTTCTTTTTGGGAAATATGGTTTTTACATGCTTATTTAACATATAACCAGCATTATGTGGTTAATTTTTGAAAATGCAGGATGGATATAGGTGAAATCGAAGGGATGGATGGGGAGTGGCTAGCCTGAAAACAGATTGATTGTTTTTGTAGGTAATCGATTTTATCGCTATATTTTTATTTTCTTTTTCAATGCTTTTTTTTATTCGTAATTTATCGACCCTTTTCAGTTATCTGAAATCCCATGGGTGACACATTTCGGTTTTATAGAACTTTTGCAATGAGAATTGTAAACATGATAAATTTTACAGCGGAAACGTGTTGTAATAGATTCATAATATAGATTTGTATGAGAGTACAAAACCAACGGATCTTGTTACATATGTTATTGGGTGATTATATGATTTCTTTTTTATGTTGCAGATGCGATTTTAGTAAAATTTCCGTAACTATATAACTATCACCATTCATCGTGTATATTCATGTATAAGGAAATGCAATTTCTCGTAAGTTGTGCTTCACTATCGAATCAGTTTGGACCCCTTGTTGAAGAACCAAGATCAAATTCACGTGACCCTGTGGGTTGAGTTGAACCCGTTTTCATCATAAAACCAATTTTTATCATCGTAATTGTCTTATATTCACGAGCTAATTTTACGATTTCTTTGCATACTACATATTATTCTCATATGTATTATACCGCCTTATAATTTATCATCACATTTAAATATCACTAATCACTCATGTTTACTTATGGTTACATTTAATATCACAAATTAATCATTTACTTTATTAACAAATTATGCAAAGAGACTGAATGAACACAGATTTAGGTGGCGTTTGTTTTTTTTAAGAGCTGTTGAAGTCTGAAGTTTTATTTCACTTCTGATCAATAAGAGGTGGTATTGAAGTCTGAAATATGATTCAATAAGACTGTTTTTTTTTTGTAAGTGATTAATATCTGAATTTGTTTAAATTGTTTATTTTACCGATTAGAAAATTATAATATTGAATTTATAGATAAATTTATACAAATTTCACATATTTATTCATCATCATTATGAAATTTATATTTAAATTATATAATTAACATTCATTTAAACAAAAATATATCATAAACCAGGGCCGTCCCTTAGCATGTAAAATGTGAGATTTTGAATAGGGCCTCGAAATTTTGGGGCACAAATTTACATGTGTTTAGGGTATTTTATCAACGTGTGTAAAACTATAGCCGAAATTATTTAGGTTCAAACCATTAATTGTTTGGTTTTAGGTTCAAATCATTAATGGTTTAATTTTAATTTCAGATTGTTAATCGTTTTAGATTTAGCCCATTTTTGTTCTTAACATATATTCTTTGTTATCTCATTATGCAATATAATCAATAGTTTTGGATGTAACAGGGCCTTCAAAAAGATTAGAACGTCTCTGTCATAAACAGTATTTAACACATTTAAATCTTATTAAAATACACCAATTGAGAGTTGCGATGATCAATTTGGTAATAATCAATTGAAAGAAATGGTCGATTAAGGTTAATTAATTGAGAAACGTCATTGCTAAATGTTTCAAGAACAATAAGAGACAATTAAGAGGTTGGTTTACCTCTTACCAGATAAGAGTACAATAAAATATAAGTGCATTTTAAAAATTAGAAAAAACAAACAGTCTGAATGACTATACCTCTTAACAAATCAGTCATAAGAGGTTAATGAGAGTTTATTTTTTTTATTTTTTTTTTATTTTTAAACAAGTGTTAAAGCCCAACTCTTGTGAAAATCCCACCTCCATTTCGTTGAATAATTTAATGGGAACAAAAACAAAAAATGCAAGTTGAGAAACTATCGAATGCAAATATAACATATTTATTAATTATTAACTGTTTTTTTCTTACTATATGTATAAACCATTTTTAATAACATTATTAAGTATTTATTATTATTTTTTTCTTTTCATTGTGGTATTAATTTTAAATTTTAACTTAATTTTTTTATTAACATATAATATTGTTATTAATACAAATTATGAAAAAAAAATATTCTTAGTGAAAGAATACTTTATTTAATTGTAAATGCAATTTTCTTTTTTCAACCTTAAACCTTCTATCCTTGAAAGGTATATTATAGTCAGTTTATAAATCTAAGTGAGTTTATGGTTCGCATGAATAAAATTATATCACATTTCACAAGTCAACTTGTAAACTCTATATCAAATAGTATGTATTTTATGGAAACATGCAACATTGAAAGAAATGGGATTTTATTTATTTCTGGTCGAGTATGGATCGTTTAATAACTGACACATCCTGGGTTGAAATGTTTGTTATATTCGATCACCCATTAGATGGTTCTTGTGTGACTAGTCTCGGCATACCCATTTTCCTGAAACGATCAAATTCTTATTGGGCACTTTAGAAGTCTAGAATTACACTGTAGGTTCACCTTTGAGTCGTGCCACTTGTCCGAGAATTACTGGTCAAACCCAACCATTAAAAATGATCATAAAACTATCTTATGAATTGGCATGCTAGAATTGTTTGAAAACAATTAACATAAAGCATACAACGTAAGTGTAGACTGTTTTGTTAATTTTATAAAGCAAAATACTTAAGGGGTGTTTGGTTCATAGAATGAAATTTGATGGAATTGGAATCCATCAAAGGAATTTGACTTTGAAGGAATTGGAATGAAATTTGACCATGCGTTTGGTTGGTAGGAATTGGAATAAATCTCTCAATAGAATTGGAACAATCATCTTTGTATGGACTATCCCATCCATCGCCCCGTCCACACCCTACCAGCCACCATGTCACTGATATCGTCGTCACAACTATCACCCGCCCTGCCCCCACCACTTCTGCCCTACCCTGCTCCATAGGTGGGGATTGTTGCGGGTAGGCAGGGGTGGGGCAAGGCAGTGGGTGTGAAGCCAGAGTGGGGCAATAGGTGGTAGTGTGATAGTTGTGATGACTACAGTAGTAGGATGGTGGTTGGTGATGGGTTAGAGTAGGGTAAAGTAGGATGGGGGCAAGGTAGGACGGTGGGGTGGGTAGGGGTAGGTGGCGGGGTGGTAGCTGTGATGATGCTAGTGGTGGGATAGTAGTCGGGTGGCTGGGCCAGGGAGTGGGTGGGTATGACGACAATAATAGTGACATGGTGTTTAGTGGTGGGTTGGGGTAGGGTGGGGTGCGGGTGAATGGCGGTTGTGAAGGCGACAATAGTAATGTGGGGGTGAAGGGTTAGGTTAAGGGAGGCATGGGGGGGAGGTGGGGATCAGTGACAGCTGTGACGATAATAGTTGTGGGATGATGGTCAGGGTGATTGGGAGTGGGTGGGTATGATGACGAMAGTAGTGACATAGTGGCTAGTGGTGGTTAGGGTAGGGTGCGATARGGTGAGTGGCAGTTGTGACGACGACAATAATGTTGTGGTGGTGGGGGTTAGGTTAGGGGTGTGACAATAACGTTAGTAGCATAGTCGTAGTAGGGATGTGTAGTGAGTGACCGGAGTGTGGGTGGGTGTGATGACAAAAGTAGTGGCATAGTGGTTAGGGTGGGTAAGGGTGGGTGGCAACGACATCAGTGGCAGGGGTTAAGGGTGGGGCATCATGAACAATAGTAGCATGATCGTGGTAGGTGGTGATGTAATTCAATTCCTTCCATTATGCCAAGGAATGATGAATTCATTAACTTGTGGAATTCAATGGAATTTGAAGGATTCCATCCATTTCAAGAAATGAACCAAACAAAGGAATTGGAATTTGGTCAAAGAAATTTGTCATTACAATTCCATCAAATTCCTTCGAATTCCGCGAACCATAATGGCCCCTTAAGGATTACTTAAAATATTGATTCTTTAACTATATGGGTATTTTGGTAATTCTATAAGCTTAAGTAATTAAAATTTAGTCAAAATTATATATTATAAACTCCAACAACCTCTCTAACAATTCCATAAAAATTATCATTGATGAACTCAAATTTTCAGTAGTAATAATAAATTTCTGGTGCATTGGAAGAACCAATAATATCATTAGACTGGTCGTATGACATTGTTCTTTCGAACCGGAGGTTGTTGGCTCAAATGTAACTATATATAACTCCTTTTCTTTTTAAATAAATAATAATAATAACACGACTATCTGTGGCTATGATTTTTTAAGCTTTTGAGCTTTATTTTGACTCGTTTCTTGTTCTTTCTTTTGCCCTTTTTGCACCAAATTCTTAGTAACATTTTTATCGATATTTTGACATAAAAAACATGAATTTTGCTCAGGTAATGAGTATTATTTTCCCGTTTAAAGTTTAAGTTGTTAAAACTAAAACCCTACAACTTTAAATACCAAATCGAACCATTAAAACGTAAATATAAAATATGAGACTACGGATTCAATAAAAAAAACTTAAAATTAAAGCCATAGACGTAAAAATCAACTTTCATAAGTATACCGACTAATTTATATTTGAAATTTGGTGAAAATTTTGGGAATCGACTCAAATGACAATTTCTCATTTTTTTTAATTATTTCTCTCTCGGGTTTACCTAAATGTTACTACTTCTGTAATATCCAGATCCGTAATATCTATACTATATTATAAAGCATTTGATAAAAACTCTTAAAAATGATTTTTTTATGCATGAAATACAGTATATTGATGCATATTACTTAAAATTCAAAATTACAAGTAAATTATGCATAAGTACAACTTATTAAAGCTCCATGTTTGAATTCGTATAACTAGCTACGAATAAACATAATCAAATTGAGAATAAACATATTATTTTAAAATATAAAAAATCTAAAATATAATTAGGATAATAATCGAGTTCTAACAAAATAATTAATTAATATTTTTATAAGAAAATTATATTATTAAATCAAATATAAATCACTTTGAACCTAAATTAAATTATAATAAAAAATATTGAATTAAAAAATTACACAAAAATATGAGTGTTAAATTAACATCAAATTTTTATGATATATCTTCAAATTTATATTTTATTCAAAAATAAAACATCATCGTTTTTTTTTAAAATCACATAAGACCATACTATAACATCGACTGAGATAAATAATAAAATAAAATGTTAAAATTAAGATGTATCTCACTGCATTGTGCGAGTACCTTCTAGTTAACTAAAAGACAAAAAAAATTCAAACTCAAAATCTACAATTGTGACGGTAAACTGATTGAATTTAATTTTTTTTTATCTTTTAACTAATATTATGAACCTAAGTAATACATGAATAATAACATTTAAGTAAACTCATTTTTAAAAATGATTAGAAAACAAATTTAAACATAAGAAATAGTTATTTAGTTTTTCGGATTTATGTCATACGTTAGACTTAGACCAACTCCAAAATCAGATTTTCTGATATTGTTGCAAACTAGTCCCTTAAGTTTGGACTGTTTGTTACTTTACCCCTTGACCTTATAGAAATGACAGTTTACCCCCTGTTGACATAATACTTCACCACTTCAAATCCAAATGATTATAAATTCTTTTATTCACTTCTCACTTTTATTAAATGGCATAACCGACCCATTTCAACTATTTTCTTCACATTTTTTGTCTAATAAAATAAAAACTCATTTTATTCCCTTTTCTCTTTTCTTTTTCACATTTATTTATTTACTCTATTTTAAGATGACACGTTGAGTATCATATTTAAATCATCGTTTTTCACTGGTGGAGTTAAATATCGAGTGATTGTATTGTGTAATTTGACAAATACAAACTTTGGACGATCATGATGCAAGCGACCCCTTCGTTTTCAAAGAACCTTCCACAAAAAGAAAAGGTGAATCCAAAAGCTACAATGTTAAGTTAGACATTTAGTAAATCCTCGATGACGACAGTAATGATTAAAACGCAATTATTAGACCCCATACAAATACCTAATTTAGGAAGATCAGTCCACCCGACCCACCACTGTGGTATGCCTCTTTACTTTTACCTAAAACCTCATGGGCATTTTTTTATCTGTATGTAATTTGTCATTATATGATTTAAATATATATACTCGTAAACAGATTATTAAAATTGTTTATTTGGTCATGTGAAAAGGCTGAATCTTCTTTGTTTATAACTAATGCATCTATAATCAACACTTCAACTCCGACTCTGTATGTTACGAGGTTTAAGACAACGGCAAATGTAAAAATTAAAGTAACTCTTTAATATATTATATTAGTTTCAATTTCATTGATGAAGCTACAACTATCTGATTATCATTTTTTTTTCCTGTTCTCATTATATAAATATGTTTAAGTTAATTAGGTGTTGCTAAATTTAATGTTTTAGGTTTTAATCGTTATATAATATGTTCCATCTGCAAAAAAATCACAATATTATTTTAAGACAATTTTAAATAAAAAACATTATATTATTTTATATATAGAGAGACATTTTACAAATACTAAACAAACACAACAACAAAATGATAAACTTGAACAAACATATACAAGTATGTATATGTATATATTCATATCATCATGTAAAATGCGTATATTTTTAATCCCATGGCTCAATTCTAGACTCCTATAATACTTTTATGGTGTTTTCCTTTCTCTTAAAGGAGTTTAAACCTCTTATTATATTAAGGTACCAAAGTGTAATTCAATGAAAGTTGAAGGACTGGATTTAGCTAGACTGAGAAAAAGCCTCCATAGTCATGGGGTACCTATCCGCGCAATCAATCCAAGGGTTGTTGGTGGATGGTTTTTCTATGTGACGAACGGACTTCCAAATGGCGCTGTTGCATTTCAAACCCGACCCATACGTCAGCTGCCAAACCCGGTCGCCCCGTTTCACTCGGCCCTTTGCCTCCAGGTACGCCAGCTCGTACCAGATACTACTGGAGGAGGTGTTCCCGAACCGGTGGAGGGTGGCTCGTGATGCCTCCATGTTCGTATCGGTGAGCCCCAGGTTGCGTTGCAGCTCGTTCACCGCCGTCTTGCTGGCGGCGTGAATGCAGAAGTGCTCGAACGCCAGCTTGAAATCGGGAATGTAAGGTTTGGTGGCGGAGGAGGAAGATGTCAGCAGCTGAGACGAATTTCTTGGGGTGGTGGCGCCGGAAAGGAATCGTTTGACGAGGGTGGACAAGAAGAGAAGTTGCTCGGAGAGTGGGAGGACTAATGGACCTAAGGTGGTGATGTTGGTTTTGATGGCGTCGCCGGCTATCTCCACGATATCTTTGCTGATCCTTAATCCTCTAAATCGTTGGGTGTCTTCGTCTTGATATACGCTCCTGAAGCTGGCATCATCACCACCCTTATGGGTTCGAACGATGTGCTCAAGACTGTACTTGGCTCGACGATAGTCACGACGGCGATTGGACAGCATCACGGCGGAGCAACCCATCCTGAAGAAACAGTTGGGGAGGAGCATAGACCGATCCCGACCCGTGTACCAGTTGAACCCAACCATCTCGGTGCTCACCACCACCGCCACGTTATTCGGGTTGGATTGAAGCATATCACGTGCCAAATCCACGGCAATAATTCCGGCGCTGCAACCCATCCCACCCAGATTAAAACTCATAATGTTTCCCCTCATCTTGTAGTGGTTGACCACCATCGCCGACAGCGACGGCGTGGGGTTGAAAATGCTGCAGTTTACAACCAGTACCCCGACGTCCTTTGGACGGATACCGGTCTTCTGGAAGAGCTCGTCCATTGCTCCAAATATCACCATGGACGCCTCTGATCTTCCTTCTTTCATGGTGGTGATGTTTTCCGGCGACATTATAGCCTTTGGGACGTACGTCTCGTCTCCTATCCCTGATGATTCAAGTATCTTCTTCTGGAACTCAAGGCTCGCTTCATCAAATTTTCCGGATTTACTTGCTAGCTCCATAAATTGCTCCTTCGTCACCTGCAGTTAATTCAAGAGATCAATTAATATATATATATATATATATATATATATATATATCGCAGCAAATTCATAATTAAACAATATATATATATATATATATATAACTGATTTACCGACCTTAAGATCTTCATCTGGTTTGAAGCATGCAAAATCGATGAGATAGATGGATCGAGGGCGGGCCAAGAAGTAAAAAAAGAAAGTGAAGATGAAGAGAGCAGATAACGCAAGGACAGTAGCAAGATCATAGCCAGCAGTGTTGTCCCAGACCTTCCGCCACAGCTCCTCTCTGCTGAGGCCGCCGACCTCCGCACCAAAAACCAGGAGCAGCAGCGGCACGGTGGCCAAGTAGATTCCATGGTTAATCAGGTAATGGTAACCAAGCTTGACATACTTGAGCTTGATGGACTGGAGAAAGTCCGGTAGTCTACGGCGAACCCTGACGGAAAAAGTTATGGAACCGGCGTCAGGACCGGATGGTTGAATTCCTCGACTGACGATTTCTGTGGAGAGAAGGTGTTGTTCTCCGGTAGCTGCCATGGGTGAATTATGGAGGTGAAAAGAGACGGGTGTGGTGTGTACTTAAAATAAAATAAAAGGGAGTTGGAGAGAGTAAATGTAGTTGGAAGGTTCGAAAGTGCATTAAATTCGTAGTTATGACTTATGGTTGAGGGTGTGTTTCCTTTGAGAAACTTCTTTTCCCCATCACCCATCAAAGCTTTGAGTTTCATTGTAACGAGTAGTGGTTTTTTGTGATTAGATTGGGTAACTAATATTTGGTATTAGCTTAATTAGTAGTGGTTTGGTAGAAAGCGTAGCTAGGAATTTGTATAGTAGAGGCTTGGGACCGCTTTCAAATTAAATTCTTTAATTAACCCCTAACAAGAGACTAATATATATATGCTTAATAATAAAGGGTAAATTAGTAATTTTGTATACACACACACGAGCACCTAGGGACCAAAATCCGGTGGCCTCCTCCGGTCATCTTGTCCGACCTCATCCCCGCTACTGACCACCATCTACATCGATTATTCCCTCGATCTCCCCATCAAACGCCTTCATCGATCACGTCGGCGGCGATGTTGTCGAATGGGGAGTTGAATGAGAAAGTGGAGGCGTTTATTTCAAGATTTTGGCAACAATATTTGGTTTCCGATGTGAAGATTAGTAGAAGTAGGTTTGATACTATGTGAGAGTGGGGTTTTCTCCAAGATTACAACTATTTAAGCGTGCACCACTGTCGATGGTGGCGCATGTGCATGGTTGTTAGGTGGTTCACTCATTATATTGTTGAGCTCCGCCATAGCAGACGATGGTTGGTTTTTGGTGTTCATGATGTAAATGTATCTCATCTACCTCTTACTTTCTTTTGTAATATAGACAACAACAAATCTTTTAGATTCTTGTTTTCCAAAATCCTAACAATTTTTTTTTTTTTGAATTCGATTCATTGTTCACTACAACAAAATCGGTTTTTAAGGACACTCCCAAATATTAAGTGTCTTAATAGATCTCTTTATAGGACTTAGTTTATAGTACCAAAAAAATAAAGTGTCATATCTAAAGGTGTTGTAATAAGTTTATATAACGTTTTTTAATGTCGTAATAAGTTTTTTAGGACATTTTTAATATAAAGTGTGTCATTATCAACTTTATAGAAAACTATTTGAAAAACCGTATTATAAAAACAAATGCCCTATAAAAATTGAGTTTATATATATATATATATGTGTGTGTGTGTGTGTGTGTGAGAGAGAGAGAGAGAAAGTATCCTATAAAGTTGATAATGAAACGTTTTATATTAAAAGTGTTACAAAAAACTTATTACGACGTCAAAAAAGGTCATATAAACTTATTACAACACTTTTAGATTATTTTTTTGGTCTTATAAACTAAGTCTTATAAAGAGGTCTATTAAGACACTTAGAATTTGGGAGTGTCCTATAAAACCGATTTTGTTGTAGTGGTTCTTCCATTTTTGAAGAGATGAAACTGTAGCTTTTGAATCCTGCTTTGAAAATGACGTTGTTCATGAACAATGATGGAGAATCATCATTGTCAGCCGTGAACCGGCGACAATTCTGCATCTCAAAGATCACCAGCGGGATCGAAACAAACTTTTGACTGGTGGAAATGCTCGTAAATCCGGTCATGAATCTGGGTTTGGTCGATTTGAGTATTGAAGTTTCTGAGATCGATCTTCTCATATATCTAATGGTATCTTTGGACAACACTGCTTTTCTTTAAACCCAGATCTGCATTGTACCTAGATCTGGAAAATTTACAGGGTTTTCTTTCTTTTTCATAAACCAATTAAGAAGTATGTTCTTGATTGAAGATTTGATCATAGGAATAGATATCACATAGGTCACAGTGTGTATCACAATGCATCTTGTAAGTATTTTGGGTATCACATAGGTCACAATGTGTATCACATTGCATCTTGTAAGTAATTTTGGGTATCACATAGGTCACAGTGTGCATCACAATACATAGTATTTTGGGTATCACATCGTCCATGATGTGTATCATAGTAGTATCTCGTTCTTCCTTGAATGACTCCCCATATATATATATATATATATGTACACACACACACACATATACATACATACAACGTAGGTATCATAGTGGTACTACAATTGGTATCATAGTGGTCTCGAAGTTTACTTGGTGTGTTTTGAATATCACATTGTATGTATTTTGGGTATCACATTGTATATCTTGATGTATTTTGGGTATCGCATGGTGTTCGCCGAAATAAGATTTACCGGAGGTCGGAAACAGGAGAGATAAAAAAATTTAAATACCTAAAATGCTCTTTAATTAAAAATTTAAGTTAAATTACCAAAAATATTAGTTTCTTAATTTATTTATTAATGTATGGTTGAGATTAGTTCTCACGATTATCACAAACCAACTCATGAACTGCGTTTTAGAAGAAAATTGATTTGGTGTATCTTATTAGTGTTAATCTATTGTTTTTTTTCAATTATAACTGATCCAATGGTGGAGATTCGTTCTTATCTTTCTCACATAACTTTCATCATTCTCACCGAAAATGAACTCTCTATATATAATGCAAACCAAATGTAACCTCTCAAAATGTTACAACCGATGCAACTCATCAAAAGTCATCCTAACTGTCGATCTATTATTTATTAAGGAGACATTTTTATTATAAATTTTTTCATTAAAAGGATAAGTTTGTCATTTACATTTTTTAATTAAAAATAAAGTCCATTAATTTGCGGGACGGTTATATTGTCTTTGAATTGTTTAATTACTTCTATTTTTGGCAATGATTTTTTAATTTTAATTTATTGTTTTTTTAATCTTTAATAATGATTTAAATGATGATTATTTAAAACATAATAATTCATATATATACAATCATGATATTTCCATACATTCATAACCTTGATTTCATATATATATATATATATATATATATATATATATATATATATATATATATATATATATA